TTTTTGCAGGGTATGTCAGTCTTGCTTGGAAGGTATTTTGTTTTAGGGTTTGAAACACTTCACTCCAAGCTCTTCTGGCCTTTAAGGTTTGCATTCAGAAGTCTGCTGTAGGGGCTGGGTATTTAGCTCAGCGGCAAAAGCGCCTGCCTGGCATGTGCAAGGTCGTGAGTTCGGTTCCCAGTACCGGAGAAAAACCAAAAAAAAAAAAAAAGAAGTCTGCTGTAATTCTGATGGGTATATTTTTATAAGTAATTTGTTGCTCTTCTCTAAGTTTCATAAGATCCTTTCCTTGTTTTGGGTTTCTGGGATTCTGACTATAATATGTTGTGGAGAGGTTCTATTCTGATTGTGGCTATTGGGGTTTCCATATATCTCACTTATTTGTATGTTACTTTTTTTCCTATATTTTGAAAGTTTTTTGCCATCATTTCTGTAAACTGGTTTTTTATGCCATTTATACTATCTCGTGCTTTTTAACTAATTCAGATTAATCTTAAGTTAGTCTTATTTGTATCTAGCAGCTGTTACATCCATTTTCATGTTCTTTATTTTTTAAGATATTTTCAAATAATTGACCTCCAAAAAGCAGCTCTATTTCTAGTTCTGACACTCTGTTTTCATATTAGTCTCTTCTACTGCCATACTTCCAATAGAATTTTTAATGTCCTAAATTTATGCTTGTTTGATACTTCTTTATGAATTTTAATTTTTTGCTAAAATGGTCATTCATGTTTTGTTTAGCTCAGGTAGCTTTTTATTAGTATCTTCTGTAAAGTTAGTAATTGTTTTATTTATTAAATATATTATCTCTTTAGTTATATCTTCTTTCAACTCACCATGCACTTATTGATCTGCTTTTTATGACCTTTGTTATCCTTTTGAATAATTCAGCTGTGTGGCTTTTGATTTCCTTCCTCTTTATGTCCTTTGTTCAGCTTTTGAGAAGTTGGGAGTTTTTGGAAGCATCTTGCTGCCTTGTCTTCTCAGGTATCTGTGTGTGTGTGTGTGTGTGTGTGTGTGTGTGTGTGTAAGTCTGTGGGTTGATTAGCATGGAAAACTTTGTTGCCAGTATACAAACTTCTTTAGTGTCTCCTTTTAAGTGATGTACTCTACACATGGCTAACTGTAAGTTTTTTGTTCTTTTTTCTGTTTCAAGATCCGACTGTCTCTATTCATTTTGTAATTGAGACTGCCATGTATTTAGCCCAGCACTCAGTTCTGCAGAAAGAGGTACAGTATTTTTAATGATAAAAGGCAATCCTGATACTAGCATACCAAGAAAATTAGTTAATAGCAACAACTCTACGAGCTTGGCAGTTACGATAAAATCAGTAACAGCAATAGTGGGGAAGATAAACTGGATATTGGCATACCCTTATAACCAGTAATGTACCACCCTTAACCAGAGAAAATAGATCTCTAATTAGAATATAAATATTAATACAAGCCAAACATTGACATACAGTATCTACTAAATAGAACAACTGTATTACCACTAAAACTACAACAATATTCAATAGTAATAGTGTTAACTATGTAAAAATCCATAAAGTTTAATTGTTATACTAGTAAAGATAAAAGAGTGAGGAACTTGGAATGAAAATAGTAGAATCTGTAAAATTAATTCAATGAAGATGAGGGCTGTGGATATAGCTCAGTGTTATAAGCGCCTGTCTGGCAAGCACAAGGTCCTGAGTTCGATTCCCAGTACCACAAAAAAAATTTATAGAAGATGAGAAGGAAAGGAAAGTGAGAGAAAGGATCCCATTAAGAGATAAAAGGAAACAATAGTATTAGAAAAAAAAAACCCTAATACTCCAAAAAAAAAAAAGGAAAATCGGAATTAAAAAAAATTCTCTGTGCTTCTGAATAAGTAGTTTAGTGGTTTCTTGCTAGGATCTGCAATCTCAAAATCCAGCAAATCATGGTTTTCTCCACATAGCTTTATGGTCTGTGGGTTTATGAGGTGCCCCCTCCCACTCCACAGGCCTCTTTGTCTGTACACCTCAGACTGGCAATTGTCAAAGCTGAGGTAAAAACTTGGTCACTTGGTATATGAGGAAAGCAATCAAACTACTGGTCTCCAATATGTACACGGTGGGGCAGGCATTCAAACAGACTGCTGGAGTTCATGCCAACACTTTTAGATCCAGCTGCCCCTGAAGGGCACACTGGCTGGGCCTGGTTTCTCACCATGGACGCAAGGGCACGTGTCCTTCCCAGCCTGAGTTTAGATATGTCTAGTCTTCACTACTCTCTGTGTCTCCTGTGGTTGTCTGTCCTGCAGTCACTGTAGGAGAGTAACACTGAGAACCCTGAATTAAAATAATCGTAAACAATTGACCCATTCCCCAAATTATGGCTGATTAAACACTTTCTGGCAATGTGGCAGGCACTGCACTGGGTTTCTTTTCCACCTCCAGTCTGCTATGAAGGAGTCACTTTCATAGTAGAACCCCATGCTGTTTCTGTAACTTACAGTAGCCATGGACTTTTCTTGAGGCAAGCTCTGCTGGCCAGCTCCATTTTTTTTCCCTGGAGCTGCCAGCACTCTGGGGCTTATCTTCTCCACCAGAGTGTTGGCCTTGTCCACTTTTGAGTCTGTCAGTTGATCTGCAGCTCTGCTACCCTGTGCCAAGGGGAAGCAAAATGCAGAGTGGTTTGATGTTGGTAGCTGGTCACACCCAGGGCAAAGAACCAATGGGTATGGAATTGGCCTAGGCTAATCCTCATTATTGGGGTGGGTTCTGTCTGCATGGTATGTGGAGGTTGGTTCTGTCCACGAAGTACAACTTTGGATATTATTTGAAGAGGAGTGCAGAGTTTGTCTTTAGTTCTTACATTGTGTCACTTGGGGACATATATTTTCTGTTTATAAACCTCAATTGCTACATCCATTTGTAAAGTTGGGAATGTATATTTACTGTTGTCCCCTGCCCAGAAGGTTACTACAAAAAAGAAATAAGAAAATTCATGTTGTGTCCTCAACATAGTCAGTGGCATATAAGTGCTCACCATGGGAGTGATGTATATTTTTTTATCACAGATATGGTGGCATAATTAAGATATTGCCCAGAACCAAATTGCCAAGAACCACAGATATATTCTCTTCCAAATTTCTAGTACCCTGAATATTCAGCACAATGAGAAGTTTTTTTTTTTCCTTCTGCCTCATTTGGAGCAGCATAACCTTGTTCTCAAGCCCAGCATATCACTATACCTTGTGTGCCACGTATGTGGCTATAAATTTTCTAGTAGCTGTGATAAAGTAAAGAAGTAGGTGGAATCAGTTTTAACATTTTATTTAACTTAATATGTCCAAATACCATTTTAATATAAAATATGTATAATTTATTTTTACATATATTTTGAGACTCAGTCTTTGGCATGTGGTATGTATTTTCCACTGAGCCTGTATCAGTTTAGGTACTAGATTTTCATTGGAAATACCTTAGTTAGATTTCATAAATTCATGTTGAAAAAATAGATTCAAATTTCCAGATCACCCTAAGCATATTTAAAGTTTTCAGTTACAGAATTCAGTATTAGCTTTTTTAAATTTAAAAGGAAACTAAAATCGAAGAAAATGAGAAATCTAACTCCTCGTTGTTCTAGCCATGTTTCATGTGTTTTATCCAGTATCCAATGGCTAATATATTGGACAAGAAATATCAGAAGCAATTGCAGTACCCAACACCCACCAGTTAAAGGAGGAGAGGTTTATTTTAGTACACAGTTTGTTGAAGTGTCAGTCCATAGTCAGCTGGCTGCAAGGCATGGCAGCATACAAGGGGACATTGCAGAAAAGAAACAGTTCATGGCAGGGAGACAGGAAGCAGCAGCAGCGTTGAACCTTCTTCTTACTTTATATTCCATCCAGGCTACAATTCTGTTGGTTGGTGCTAGATTCTAGAATCCTAGGATCTTGGGCCTCAAAAGATCTTTATGTATGTACAGACAGTCTCCCAAAAAATGTATACACACTTCAAGAAAAGAAAACCTTGTATAAATATTTTAACACTAAATTTATTGAGACATCATGACATTAATACAAGTTACCTTTGACCTCTGCAATTATCAGAGGTACTCCAACAGGTGGCCATTAGCTTCCAGACATTTATTATTTTTTTCTCCTAAAATGTGTATACATTTTTTGGCAGACTCTGTGTACATGTACATGTGTGAGTGTGTGCACATGTGCATGGGTCAGTGCAGTACATAAGTACTTATTATAGAATTCCATGGTGAGTGGGAGAGGGTTCCTTCTCTGTTAAATGCCTGGCGACAGATGGATCATTTCATTCCCTTCTGACTGACGTGGATCTCTGTCCTTGTCTTGTCTTCCTAACTAGGTTGGGAGCAAGAACTGCATTTTACAGCCCTCTGGTACTCACAGAAAGACAGTCAGTCAACAAATTATTAACTGAAGGCTGAATAACTGTAAGAATTCAAGGTCACCTCAAATGTCAGGGTCGGTACATTGCACAACTCTGAAGAATATCAGTCAAATTATATTCTATAGTTGTGCAAGTAGCAGCCCTGTAATGTTTGTCAGGTTTAGATTGGGCTTTCTTTTGTTTCTTGTGACAAACTATTTCCCTTCCCTCCTTATCGTTTGATAGGAAGCAACATTATACAAGTAAATTTCTGAAATTCTTTTGGAGTTTATGTTCCCTGGTCTTTAAGAGGTCGCTGAATTTATGGTCCTTTAGGAATTTCCCACTTATTGGCTTTTTCTTTGGTTTGAGCAATGCCTCGGAGCTCCAGCTTTGTAAAACACCTTGAAACATGATCCACGCATTCCTTGTATATATAGCTAGGTCACTAAATGAGCAAAGGGACTCTTCTTAGCTAGATGATGTCTATCCTTGTGAAGCTGAGAGAAAAACAAGCAGCAAAGGAGGAGGGAGCAAAGAAGTTCTTGTGAGAAAATCCTGCGTTTGCTTTTTTTTTTTTTTTTCCAAGCTGATGGGTGTTTGTTTTCACTCCTGTCTACCCAGGAAACCAAGTGCTACCTCCTGCAGCATCTCTTGGAAGTGGACTCACACCAGAAGCAGCAAGAGAGCTGGGCCTTCCCGTTGGCATTGCGGTGGCAGCCTCGCTCATTGATGCCCATGCAGGAGGGCTAGGTAATGTCTTTCCCTGTGTCACAGGAATATTGCCCAGCACACACGACACTCCTTATATGATTGTATAGCAGAAACTAAGGCCTGGTGACTCAAAGGGTAGTAACACAAAGCCTTTTACAGTTAGGCATTGGGTAGAATTCTAGAACTTTTTGTCAAATATAAAATTTATATTTCCATACATAATATTTCTCCATATATAATAATATAAAAATTAATCCAAGGAAATGGTTTCCTGAAAATTTTAAAAACATCTTTGCACTTCCATCTAGAACGTGTGCTTCCATCTGCTCAGTTTTTCTAATGGTACCACAAAATCCTTATAAGTCTAATAGATATTTATTCATTTCTTTGGCGGTACTAGAGTTTGAACACATCACCTTTGCACTGAGATACATTCCCAGCCCTTTTTAAAAACTTTAATGTCAGACAAAATCTCATTAAGTCACAGAGTTGCCCAGGCTGGATTGCAGGCATGTGTGCCACCACACCTGGCTAGATTTAATTTTATAGTATTTATTTTTATAGTGTAGGTTTTTGTCTCATATCCAGTTACTTGGTTAGTCTTCATTTTTTTTCTCATATATAATTCTTAAATCTGTCACTCTTGCATTCATTTTTCAAATACTTAATAAGCATTTATCATCCCCAGCCATGATGCTAAAAGACAGTGAACCAAGAACTAGGGAGATATCTCAGTGGCAAAAAACCTGGTTACTAGACCTGAGTTCCTGAGTTTGATCCCCAGCACTGCAAATGGTAAATACATAACTAAGATTCCTTCCCAAATTTTAATAGGGAACTGCACACCACGGCCAACAATCCAATCCCTTTCTCATCCCTATTACAGTGTTATTTTGTCTTCTTCCTTCCTCCTGCCCTTCCTTTTCTCCTATTCTTTTTTTCTCTTTTGGCTATTCTGATTCTCTGTATATATCACTTCTCTTTAGCCATAAGTTGTTCCCAGCCTTTCTTTCTAAGAATGCTTATTTTAAACTGTGCTTTGTAATTTGTGATGTGAACTTAGTAGGACATAGCTATGGGATTTTCAGAGTAGACTGTGATGGAACAGAATAGAATAGGGTAGAACACGTAAAGCACACCTCACATGGTAAAGGTTAGTACTGTGTTGTGGACCTGTTTCATATTGTATATATGTGTATATGTATACCAGGGCATGGTGAAAATAATTCCTTTTTAGTTCAACTGCTCAGCAGGATGAAATAAGAAGATCACTTGAACTCAGAAGTTTGACTCTAGCCTGAGCAACATAGCAAGACCCCATTTCTTAAAAACAAAGATAAAAACTGGAAGAAAAACTAGTTCACACTTCATCTTTGAGCTAAGAGTTCTCTTTTCAGCACTTACACAGGCTGTGCCCTCAGAGTTCTGTCCATAGTTTACACCATCTGTGTCTCTGTGTCTTGGTATATGTGTTCTCTGTCCTTAAAGACTGGTCCTAGTCTTAGTGCACTTTGTGCTGCTGTAACAAGATGCCTGCAGCTGGCTAGCTAATGAATAACAGAGTATTCACAGTGCTGGAGTCTGGCAAGGCCAGGGTCAAGGGGTCCACACCTAGGCAGACCCTTGCTTATATCATCCCACAGCAGGAGAGGACCAAGGATGCACTCCTGCACAACAGATGAAGTGGCTGGATTCATCTCGCATGAGGAACCTACTCCATGGACAGTGAACCCGCTTCCATGGTAACAAAACACCTCTAGGAGCCCCACCCTTCAACGGTGTCACAATACATGGCCCTGGTAGGGCACATTCACACCTCAGCTACCCTGACTGGTAACTACGCCCTAAGTTGGCTTTTCTCTAATGTCTAGGCAAACACTCTGCCACTTCTATCAGATGCTTTCTCTTCTGCAGGGCCTTCTGTGGGACAGTCAGACTTACTTACAAATTCTCTAAATTATGCTTCTTTTATCATTTGTACTTATTTGAAGAAATGATCACACTGTATGGTAATTTCTTATCTATCTGCTTGTCTTTTCTTCTTGGACAGAGAAATTATATTTTTCATCTTATATCTCTCATGCTGAACCATGTATCTTGTTTTTATAGGTTCTTTATAAGTATATTAAATTTAGTCTCATCAAGGCAAGATGCAGTGGCCTTAGCCGTAGAGTGAAGTTGAACCCATTTCCTTCACTGGCAGATTTTTAACATTGTTTTGTCCTTCTGTGGAGCCTATGGGCTTGCAGAAACAGCATGGTCCTTGTCAGTCCGTGAGCACATCTGAGGTCCTGTGCATCTCCCAGACTTCAGACTCAGGCCCTGTGCCTGAAACAATGAACAGCCAACACTACCTGTTGGTGGGTGAGAGGTAGGCAGTTTAGTTCTGACTGCAAGCAAGGGTGTTTCCCCTAGAAGCACTTTGCAGTGTGTGCTTTTGGTGGCAGTGTCATGATTTGGGTTTTTTAATGTAAGCATAAAGAGAACTAGAAGTCTAAATGGACGTGATATGTTCCTGTCCCTAGTGATCCTGACATTCCAGGTCACATAGGAGGCCATGGAAGACTTATTGTCCTGCTTTTGAAATTTCTCCTGAGGTGACCTCCAGGTTCAGTTCATGTCCAGCCAAGTAACAAGAACTCAGCAGGGCCCACCCCATACTGAAAGGTAGAGGGCTGCTGCTGGGGAGCTTCCCAGGGCTTCCTAAAGGACATGTGAAAACATGCCTACTCCCTTCTCCCTCAACTCACTGTGACCTCTACAGTGGGAGATTGCCTGTCTCTTTTTCCTAAAAATTTACCTTTAGAAGCTTTGGCTTAAGCCTTTTGTTTCCTTTAAAATGCAGTGCTTATAAGTTTCTAAATTTCCTGTCTTGTCAAAAGTAAGGTTTTTTTAAAGTGGAAAGATAAAATAAGATCTAGGATGATCTAAGGGCTGAGTATAGCTAACAGCAGTGGATGGGAAGGACATTCTCAATGACCATGGGACGGGAAAGTACTACTTAACAGTTTGGACCAAGATTTATCCTTCTCATACCTGCTGATACTGCACCCACACCCCTCCAGCCAGGTGAGGATTAGCATGTCTGAGAGAGACAGGAGGCCAGGGAGTAAAGCTCTCCTCTCCTCTTTCATCTTGCCTCTGCCCTGCCCAGGTGTGGAAGGAAACAGAATCCTAAAATTCCCGAAAATGTCATCCAGCAGTCCAACTGTAGACTCTTAAGACAAGGATCATGTGCATGCAAACCTATCAGCTATGGGTCTAGACACTGGAGACTTTGAGCAGTGAACAGATCTGACAAAGTCTCACTCCTTTCAGAGAGAAAATTCTCATTGTCCTCTGAGCCTGAGTGCTTGTAGCTTGATACTGTTGGTATGGGATAGTGAGGCTCGTGAAACCCATTGTGTCTGAAGATCAAGATTAAACTCGTATATACAAATAGGGTACCTCTTAGCATATTCCTCCTTCTTTTGTGGGAGGAGCTTGCAGGGCTCCTTTGCAGGATTATGAGGATGGTGATATAAATTATGTGGATAGCATCATGTCTGGCACACACTACATACAATAATGAGGTCTCTGTCTTTGCTTTGTTCACCCCAGAGCCATAGCACCTGACACAAAGTAGTTAAATCATAAATGGAGCTATCTGAGCTACCACCCGGGTAGGAAATGTCTATCAGAACATTCTTTTCCATGCTAAGGCAGATGAAGAAGGATGGGAGGCTCTGGAATCTTTTTGTCTTTCCTGCATTTGCTCTATCTTTTTCTCCACTTCTCTGTAGCAGAGTGTAGGATTCACTATGTTAAGATTCTGAGTAACTTGAGGTAGGAAACGGCCTCAAGAACTGATTAAATATGTTCTCTCCTAAGAGGTACCTGATGGTCAGTGAGAATTCAGCTTTGGAGTGGGATGTAGAGGTCATCTAGGTCTCTCAAATGCAAGCCCTGATGAATATGGTCATACCAGGTGCTGGCCTGGTGTGTTCATGTTGCAGCCTGCCCTCTGAGAAGGAGGAGGGTCAGCACTCCATTTTGGAGAAATACCTCTGGACACTTACTTCCAGAAGCAGCCTTTGAAGGGAAGCTAAAGATCAAAGAAGCAAGTACAACTCAACTCATGCCTTTTTCCAGCTCTGGAAACATACGAGGAAGACTTTGTAGGAATACAAATCAAAGATAAAAGAACATTTTGTTCTTAAGGTGCTGGTTAGTGAATTCCCTAGCATACACTGAAAAGATAGGGGTAGCTTTGTTTGCACTCTGTGGGGGTGGTTCGGACACTGCTCCTGCTGCTGGTATTTTTCTAGCTTTTAAAAATAGCATTAACTTTGTTCTAGGTCTGTTCTTGGCTCCAGCACCCCAACCACCCTGAAAGGCAATAACAGTCTGATTCCTCTCTCAGACCCTTCTGTCTGTTGCTTTTCTCTGTGAAACACACTTCTGGGTGTACCTCAAATCTTGAAGATGGTGCCATCTCCTTGGGGCAGCCTACCCTATCTCCGCATGCTAGCTTTACCACTTCTTCCTCTTTTTTTCTACCTGAGGCTTGTAGTTGTAGGTCTGTATGGGCAAAATTGTTTTGTCTACTACTGCTTAAGTTCTTTTAGCACATTGCCATTTTATCTTTATATCCCACAACTTTCACAGTGCTTTGCACATGGAAGACCCTTATCACATGCATATTAGTAAATGAGTAAGAATGAATGGCATTCGCTCCATGTGAGATGAGAATTTTGGCTGTGAGAGGCAACAGCAGCCTCTCATTACAGAGGCAACTGTCCCTATACAGTAATTATGCTCAGCTCAGTTTTCCAGGAGCAAAGGAATTTGTTTTGCGTGCTCTCTGAACTACTCTTGGATGTCTGGAAATCTCCATTCTTTTTGTTCCTATCACATTAGCAGATTTTGGCAAAAAGCAAATTTTGTGGCTAGGTTTAGCAGGACTCTTTGATTACCAATCCTGGATTCTTTGCCAGGCATTGAATTGGTTTAAATTACTCATCTAGGCCAGATGTTGAATTAGATTAAATTGCTCATCT